TGCCAAGTGGGTGACAAAAACAACAACAACAACAACTACTACTACTACTACTACCACTACTACTACTCCTATACTCCTCCTCCTCCTCCTACTACTACTACTACTACTACTACTACTACTACTACGACAACCACCACCACCACCACCACCAACCACCACCACCACCACCACCACCACGACCACCACCACGACCACCACGACGACGACGACGACGAGTACCACCACCACAGTACACCACCACCACCACAACCACCACCACCGCCGCCGCCGCCGCCGCCGCCGCCACCGCCACCCCCACCACCACCACCACCACCACCACCACCCCTACCACCATGACGTACGTTCTGGAATTATGACTATCCACACAATGTCCATGTCACCGTGCTATGCAAGCGTCTTCATTGGCAGGAGGCTCTCAATGGATACTCCTGCCCCCTGCACGATTGAAAGGCCGGTATCCCTGCGAATCTCGCGAATGTTGTAACACAACTTCCCAGGCAACAAACAGCTCAAAGGGCATCAACTCTGAATACATTCGGCGACTAAAAGCCTCCGGCTCGCACGCAGAGAATCACTGTGACACGCTTGTTGACAACTATAAGAGCACGGCATATAAAGTCCTGCTGGCTATGCCTGGCAAAGATGGTTTTGGTTAGCAACTCAAGCAAGACATGCATGCAATGCTGTATTTCAAGCGGTTGTATTTTGTTTCTTAGTCGGTTGTATCTCCTGTGTGGCAAGCTGATGGTTAAAGCGTGCCAAAAACGTTTGCGACTGCTGGTCATGCAGCAAAATGAGTGCTGGATAAACAGGTTCCCCACACACACACATACATACATACATACATACATCCATACATCAATACATACAATACATACAATACATACAATGCATACAATACATACAATACATACAATACATACAATACATACAATACATACAATACATACATACATACATACATACATACATACATACATACATGCATACATACATGTGTCACGCAGAAATGGCACACAGGAGCACCGAAAACGAACAAAGCAAACACGAATGGCGACCCGGGAATTCGAAGCACACTCGGCGAAGAGTTATGACAAACAGGCACAGAAAGAACAAGCGAACAAAACACCTGCATGTGGGGATTTGCAACAAAGCACCTTCAACCATCGATTCAGCTGCAAGTCATGTGACTGGCCTTCTCAAGAATGAAACGAATTTGACTGGGTCTAGTCTCCTAGAGATTTGACACCAGCTCTCTCTGCCAGGCGAAGGCTCTGGGGTGGCAAAGGCCATGATGACAAGGCATGCCATGTTTGCTTTTGTTCCACGAGCTGAGGTGAAGGTCTTGCCGCGAGTCAGGGCCTGATGCCTTGGAGGCCCAGAGCATCCGACTAGCAAGAAAGTGGCAAAGTGCATCCGACAGAAGTCTGAGGTCAGCGAGTGATCAGGCTGGCATCGAAGGCAGCTGATTTTCTTGCTCCTGGTTGACTCCTATCTGCATTCCTTGCCAGATCCCGAATCTGCGTCTGGTTGTCATGGTGCGCGAGCCAGTCGAGTGGCTGGAGCCCGCTCCTCGGATGTTTCCAGTTTCCACAAGCTGGTCTGGAGCCACATGAAATTACTTAAAGCAAAGTACCCTCACGTCTTTTGGTCAAAGCCTGCCTGACTTTGTCCATGAGGTCGCTCTACAACCTGCGAAAATTTTACCTGTGACTCGGCGGTGAAAAGGCACAGCTTGGAAGTGGGTCGCCTGAGTACTTCGCTTCCAGGTGCCAGCAGTCCAGCACGTGCTCGGAAGTTCCCGCCATGGAGGTCCTGAGTCTCCCGTCCTAGTCCCCAAAGCAACGTCGATTTTTCAATTGCAGGATGTCGTTCTCAACGGCGAGACCTTCGAAGATGTCAACGTTGAGGTTCGCTGCACGGGATGCATGAGGCAGAGTGTTGCGAGACTTTTGCCCTGCAAGATTCGCCCATCAAGACTTTCTTTAAGTAGCTTAGCTTCCAACAGACTTGTGCCCAGGATGCATTTCTGTCCAAGTCCTTGGAGCATGTTGCCGGGGCCTGTCGATGTAGAAGCAAGGAGGAAAGGGTGCAGGACGGCGAGTTCAGGTGAAGTTTTTCCCACCCTCGGCTGGCCGCTCTTTGCTATTGGAGCACGGAGCCCATGCTTGGCTGCTTAGGGGTGAAAATTCCATGGCACTGCCAGTCCTGCGCATGAGAAAGGTTTGAGCTCTTGCGCAGTCGCCCGCGCGAGCTTTTCGACCAGATCACATCCTTCCTGGGAGGGATCCTCACCAAGTCACCTGCAGAGACCATGTAGAGCTTGGGATCTCTGCCAAGGCATCGAGCCGTTTTCCCGGGACTTCGAGATCAGACGGCATGCCACAGAAGATCGACGCAGGCGGTGATTTGTTCGGTTCGAGATGCCGTTGCGTACTTAGGGCGGACAATGCTGCGTCGATCGGTCTCACGAACAGAATGATTGGCAGAAGCGCGCAAAAAGCCGTGTTTGGTCGCCGCAGCTTGTGTTCAACAAACGCTGTGTAGAGCCCGATGCCGCATCCTGCGGATAGTCGGCGATGCTCCCAGCACTTGGAAGCTCCAGAAGTCAGGGCCTCAAGTCAAGTCAGTCAAGTGGCACGAGGCAAAGAGGCAAAACGGGGTCGGGGGGCAAGAGCTCCAAAAACGGCCCCACAGAGTAGCTGTCCGCTCCAAGGCCATTCCGGTGGCGAGACCGCCCTGCAGGCAACTGCAAGCATGCAATCCCCGCAGACGGGCCTTCTGCGAGCGCTGAGTGGGGAAAGTCACCCCGATGCGGAGGAGCACGCAACATAACACAAGACAATACAAGACATTCTCATGCGTGAGCGCGTTGCGTTTCCATTCCCCCTGCTGCTTGAGGAAGCTACATATGCAGAAATCTCAGCGTGGCAGCCCCGGGTTGCATTTGTGGGTGCGAATGGAGCCTTCCCTTAGCTTGTCAAGGTGGTATCTCACAGGAATGACTCTTGGCGGCCATTTTCCCCTTCGAGTTATCCGCGTCCATGTCTAGTCGCTCTTGCGCCAAGGAGTGGCTGGTGGAGCTTGAACATTATCACCGAAGCCTGTCAGCAGAGATACTTTCGTGCTGAGAGTGTGTTGTACCAGGTACTTGTACGTAGGTAAAGCTGCTAGAATCGCTAGAAGCTTTCGAGTGCTACGGTCACGACTCAAAATCTTATGGCTTCTGAGCGGGCCATCGCGACCACGCGCGACAAGGTTTTGCAACAGAGCTGGTTTTCGCGACAAACCTTCGCAAGACAAGGGTATGAGCGCAAGCAAGGCTTTGTCGCACAGCTGCCGCCGCAACAAGGGTTCAGCAACAGAGGGGGGCCGCGACAAACCAGCTTTTGGCGCCATTGTATTGTAGCATGCCGACATCTGATCAAGGTTTTGTTAGATGTCACCGGAAAAGCGGGCTCCCAGGCAGAGCTGCCTTTCTTCGTGGCCGAGCTACCCGAGGGGAAACGCCTGGGAAACCTCATCGCGGTGTGCACACAGATCGGTGCCGGGCAGGGGTGTTGTTAATTCTTGAAGGGCCCTTTATGCAGATTGTTTGGGTCCTAGACTTCCTAAACATAGACCTTAAACCCCTGTAGGTTGTTTGGGTCGGTGATTGGTTGCTTCGCTGCCAGGGAACATTGCCCCGATCATCTACAAAGCGCTAACAAGACGACGGCCCGGCAACCTTGTTTGTGCCATTGGATTCTTCCAAGTCGTAGCGGCCGGGGCCTTACTGAGAGGATCAGACTTCTGCTTGGACATGTTGAGTGTCCATGCCTGCAAGTCTACTTAGCACACAGTGCCGAAGGAAAGGCGCCAGGAAGTTTTCCGAAGGTTATGGTTCGGCCCCGTGAGGTCATAGCATTGGTGGCCTGCTCCGTGATGTGGAAATCGACACCGATCCTCCTTTTCTGCACGGTCTTGGCGGGAAGCGTAGGTGTGGCCAGCTGCGCTCGATATCACATTTCGGGAACCGCGGCACTTCGGCCAGGATGCATGAGCAGTGTCACCTACTGGGCGGCAGTAGCGCAGCGACCTGCCTCCTGCGTTCGTGGCATGAGTGCTTCCACTGCAAGGGCTCTCTCTCGCTCGCTCTCTCTGTCTCTCTCTTTCGCTCTTTCTCTTGTCTCCCTACCTGCAGTCTCTTCCTTCGGCCCGCACGGTCCGGTCGTTTGGTGCTGAGGTGTGGGAATGACTCTTGGTGGCCTGCTGGCCACCGGATTTGCTGCAATGCGCCCCTGCAAGCAAACACATGCCTCTTGCTAGACTGTACACTTGGCAATGCCTAATTGCTTGAACCTCGCACATTCTGTGGGAGTCATGGGACGACTAATCTAAGCCCTGCGGACAGCCAGACTTAGCAATTCACGGGCGAGCCTCTTTGCAACTGGCCTGTGTGAGCATGCGAAGGCAGCTAGCTGGATGTGACCAGAAGTCGCCGAGATTTGGTCCTGCTGCCTTTTTCATATTGGCTGCTGTCATCCAGGCTTCCGTCCAGAACATTCCAGAACCATAGACTCGAGGTCGAACCCAAAATCTGTACATGTCAACAGGCCGGCCAGGGAGGAGCCTTCACAGCGAAAAGCTGCGGTCAGACGAGCAGCCAGAACGGGCAGACAGCTGCTGAGAATGGTGCGCCCGGCGAGTGCGGTGTGGGTGATGGGTAAATTAAGTGCGCGAGATGTTCGTACTACGAGGTTATGACTGCAGCCACAGCCAGCAGACAAGTCTTTGACACAGGCGCTCGGTTGGAAGTCCTTTCTCTAAGCAGGTTGGCCAATCACCTCGCAGCCTTGGCAGCGAGAGCGAGAGGGAAAAGCTGACTCTTGTGATAGGTCCACAATTTGTTAAATTGAGCTTGTGTAGGCGAGTGCAGATTGAATGTCTTTGTTGTGTTGGCATGATGGCTCAAACAGGTACCTCGCATGCAGAATGCGAAACTGCGAAGCCACCCATGCCAAGGATTGCGACCCGGCTGCCAGCTAGCGGCTAGACAGGCTAGAGACGAATCCAGATCGCAAGGGACGACGCACCGCAGCGGCGTGGTTCACTGCATTCAATCAAAAATGGGAACAAACAGCAAATAAGCTGAGTGCCACAACACGTGCCGCGTGAACACGAACCATATCCACCAGCAGGCTGTCAAGCTGTTGCACTGGTTGCCGAGAGAGGTCAGTGCTTAAAGGTGGGGCGAGCGCTTGGAAGAGCTGAAGATTCCGCGTGGCAGTTGCAGTAGGGATTCAAACGGGCACTAGGTAAAGATGATCAACAGCTCAAGCTAAGGCGAAATTCTTGATGGCTGGCTGCTTCTTAGTCTATGCCACCACATACACCATGCCGACTTTGATGCCTTTCATGGTCCGCTCCCGATGTTATTATAAGGGAACCGTGCTTGATCAAGAGGCTTTGAGGGCTGCGTTGCAGCACATTGTAGGCTGAGCACAAGTTGTGAGAAAGGCCGGACACTTCACCAGCACCACGGCGACTTGGCTGGCCAAGTAGCGCGCTTGAGTACATAATGCTGTGCACGCCAGCACTCGCCCTGGAAGGAAAGCCAGCAGCTGCTGCTGTGGATGCAGGTGCTGCAGAATTCAGGCAGCGCCCGTCATGTTTTCGATGGACTACCATATCGTTGCATGTCGTAGGTGGGGTCAGTCACGAGTCCTTACCTGCTGAGCGCGAGTGCGAGCGGCGAGAGTCGGAATCGATATCTGATCAGTTGCCGCTGTTTGAGTTCCTTTTGTCGTTTTGCTGAGATCTGGCCAGGCGATGTCCTGGGACGGTTGGCCACAGCTCTAGTGCATGGAAACAAAATAGTTTTCTTTACGTGGATGCTGCTGCTGACGGCCAGCACCCAAGAGCGAAAGAAGTCACTGCCTCAAGCTGACATCTGTAACGTTGCTTGAGGCTTCGTTCGCCATTTGTGTGGTGACAGCCGTGTACAACACATCCCTGTGGCAAGCATCTCAGGTGCAGAGGTGTCAGCTATCTTTGCGCCCAGCAGCTAGTTTTCAATGAGTGCAGAGGTTCAGCTACAGTTTCGCAGTGCTGCTCTTGCCTGTGATCTGTGGCCTATTCTATTTTTCTCGTGGTTTGCTGGCGGCGGGCTTAGCCTCATGACAGGCCACGGCTGGCCCTGGCATGGCTCTGGCATGAGGTGACAACCATGTACCTCTATGCGCGCGGCCTTGGGCAACAACGAATGGCCGCCGGCTCGGGGCGCTGCGCGGGGTCACTGGGGAAAAGCGTGAGCTATCAGAAAAGTCTCGGGGAAAGGGATGTCAGGGCTTGAGGCATCTCAACGCCCAGGTCCAGGAGATAACCGAAAACATGGGGTTCTGCGGCCAGATGGGTGCCCTCATTGCCAACTTAGCAGCTTTTGCCTCTCGGTCTTGAAAGTGTCAATTCAGGTATCGCCACTGCACTTCCCGACAGGTTTGGGTGAATCTGTGCGGTCTGTTTGGTGCTGCCCGCTGTGGTTGGCGCGAGCTGCAGCCGAGGTTCTCGTCAGTCTCTGGGCCTGAGGCTTGACAGTACCGGCATGAGTTTCACTGCGTGTTACGCGGAGACCGAGAGGTGCAGCTGAAGACAAAACTGATGTCGCTGTACATGAAGTTCCCAGCAATCTTAGAGCCTTATAGTGCCAAAAAAGCTTTAGAGGGGGCCCTTTTTTCCGGAAGCTGCTTACTCGGCATGAACACGGCGGTGACCGGCCTTGCTCCGAGCTTGGCGTTGGCCGTCTTCTGTGTGCGCCACAAGCAGCCCGCCTGGTGTCCTTGTGCACCAACAAGCTTCCTTCTCGCGGTGGTTTCAATTCCCGGGCACGTCGGCCAATTGGGCCGCGAGCCCGCAACAGTTAGTCTTCGTGCAGCAGGGCTCAGGCACCTCGAAAATGCCAAGTCGCAACAAACGCAACGAGGAACTAGCTAGGTTCGGATGAATAGAACAGCAATCGAGTCCATCATGCCGTAACCTATGGTCTAAGTTGCAGCCCACCTGTTTGTGAGAAGAAGTCTGCCTGCGTACGGCAGGGCAACTGTGTATCAGCAGCGGAGGTGGCTGAAAGCATTTGCTGCAGGAGTAGGAGTTTAGCACGCCGCACAGGCGGGATTTACTGAGTTTCGTAGGGCTTGTAAATCTCGCGACTTCGTGCAGGAGGAGCTTGTCAAAACCTGGCAGATGGAAAGCTGAAATGCTCGCTGGACGGATGTTCGTTTTGCTTGTCCCTGTCTAGGTACGAGGAGCTTGGGCTGTCCGTCAGCTTATGTTCGGAGTGCCGTCCTCGTCCTGTCTCGGAGCATCTCGGAGCCTCAGAGCCGCCGGCTCTGAGGCAGCTGCGACCGAGCTTGGCCGCCTTAAAGGAGCGGCTTGCAAGGCCTGGCAGGGCCTGGCAGTTCCCAGAGAGACGAGCTCCAACCACTCACCGGCCAGGGAGAACGAGTACACTCGCTTGGTGGCTTTGCTTGCGCAGGCGAGGCTCTCAGAGCATGGAGTCCTCCCTGGCGATTTTTGGCGGCCATTGAGTGTTGTTTCGATGTCCTGTTTGTGAAGTCTGGGCTCAGAAGCACCAGGAACATAGGTGCCCGGTTCTAGCCACTCCTGCCTCGCCATGATCGAGTACCACCATGGATCCGGGTTGGCACTAGCCAGTCTAGATGGCATCTGTGCACAGCCTTAGACGCAATTTCAAGCCAAGGACGGTGGGGAATGCAGGTACTTTGTAAACTTCGAGGTTCAGTTGTCCCAAAGGCAATGATCTGGTCTGTGCCGTGTAGTCTGCTGCTCCGTGGTCGCAGAGGGTTTGGGTTTGCGGGAGTTTCGCTTCGCCGCATTCGCCTTCGGCCTCGCAGAAGAAACACCAGGCTGTCTAGGCTGCAGCCAGGTGTGTGTCTTGTGTCAAGTTTGCCAAGGACTGTTTTCATCCACATATTGTGGCGTGACGCCATGAAGGAGTACTTCGAGAACGCGTCCGGGTTGGATAGCATCTGGTCTGGGTATACCTTCATCCTGGGATTCCTGATCGTCTTCCGCAGCAACCAGGCATATTCTCGGTTCTGGGAGAGCGTAGCTGGGCAGCACCTGGCGAGAACGGGAGCATCGCATTTGCGCAGCTGTGTGCAGAAGCCGCTTGTGCCGAGGTGGCGCTCACACACAAGATCCGTGGCGAATGGACCAGCGCATTCAGCAGCCTGCTAGGCTTTTGCACGAAGAGCGCAGAACGAGAGGCAGAGGTGAGCCACTTCCGCCGCTTGCTTCGGAGATTCGACTGCGAGAGCTCTGTCTCAACTTTCATTCGGTTCGTGGAGTTTTCATGCATCGCCAAGGCGAATACCTCCTGAGATTGATGAGCCTGCTGCACTGCTATGCACTTCACGAGGCCAGGGAACTTGAGAAAGCCAGTGTGGTGCAGTCAGTGTGTGGCATTTGCAGGTTGCAGAGCTGTCCGACGAGACGAATGTCGAGGTCGTGGACCTTGCTGGCCTGAGTTCAGAAAGCGTCGAGTACCTGCACGCCAGTCCAGATAGGCCACTACTGTTCGGGTCCGCATGCGCGAAGGTCCCATGTCTGATGCCCCTGCGGCATCCTGCGACATTGTGTGTTCAGGTGCGAGACGGTCATGCTTTGGATCGAGCGTCTCATCGTAGAGACCGAGAAGCAGAAACTTTTCGATGTGGCGCCACCGGTACTGTCCAGAGCATTCCAGGAATTATCGGACGGCATCTCGGCACAACGGCCATCGCAAGCGTATGCAGGAAGCAGCTTTGCAGAGTGTCCGTCTCGCTGTGACAGTGGTGGCCGGTAGGCAGGAGTGGGTGGGGGTGGGGCGGGGTGGCGCGGGCAGCTGGGTTGTGGTCTGTGGGCGGGGAGAGACAAACGACAACGCAATCCCTGTCTTATGAATGGACGGTGGGTGTGGAGTAGGCTTTATGCATAGTCTAAGCCTGTGCCAGAAGAACTAGCCGACATGTGTGGGCATGGGCCTGGCGCTGGGTCTCTCCCTCGCTCTCTCTCTCCCTCCCTCTCTCTCTTTCACTCTATCATTCTGTCACTTGCTCTCTCTGACTGTTTGTCCGCGTTGCGGTTTTGAGCGCGGGGTATTCTGTGTGTTTATGCGTAAACCTGCAGGCATGGTCAATGTTGCAGAATTACGAAAGATTGTGGAAGTGCCCTTCCCTTTTCCATATTCGCAGTATCTTTCCTTCATGCTGGTATTGCACTGGCTCGTGAGCCCCTTGGTGTGCGTACAGCTCATTTCCGAGTGGTCATGGGCTGGTGGCACGGTTTGGCTGATTTCGACCTCTTACTGGACCTTGTGCCTCGGCATGATTCGTTACATTAGTTTCCACTGATCGACGGAGGCCACCATCAGCAGCTCGATTGCCTCAATGCATTTGAGGTTCTACATTGCCCAGGAGATCGACCAGCCTTTTGGCCAGGACTACAACGATCTCCCAGTGGTCGAGATACAACAGAGATTCAACCAGAGCTTGATGCATTTGGCCGCGTCCCTTGCCAGATTGGACGAAAGGATGAGCGTCATGCCTCCCTCCAATAGATCAACGTGTAGGGGTCGTGCCGAACATGCCGGTGTGCCGCCCGTTTCACTTTCCGCGCGAAGTAATTAGTCAATCTTACCTTCGCACTACCTGCGTCTTGAGGAGCTGTGAGAGCATCTAGGACTCTAGGATGGTGTGCAGGTGTTGAATCACTCATTGTCACCGTGAACAATTAATTGTCTCTCCCACATAAGCCAGACCCTTTAAAGGCATGTTCTAGTCTATACGGGCTACTGCGGGGCCGGTTTTGTGTGTGATGTGTGTGTGTGTGTGTGTGATGTGTGTGTGCGCGTGTTCCTGCGTGCAGCGCTTTCAGAACTACCGTCCTGTGGCGGCAGTCATGAAGACGTTGCTGCTTTGGGACCAGCAGGCACTACTGACTAGCGCTTCAGACTCCTCACTTCAAGACCATCTCACTCACGTGACGTAGTCTTGGGGTCGATCAGATTGTTTCTGTTACTGAGATTCAGCAGAGGAGGGCAGGAAACTACTTTTGCTATGTACTGACTATGTGTGATATGATCCAGTCGTTTTAACTACGATCCAACCTCGCTAGCGGGCATAGATCCTCAGCCATGCGGGCCGTACAGTGTAGCATCATCGGATAATTTTGATGTGGGGCCCGCTGAACTTGCAGGCACCGTTGCCTTTTTCTCGGAGCGTGCACCGCGCACATCCAAGCTCAATACTGTATGTTTGGCCCCACGAGGCCAGAGTCCTACATTCTGCCGGACTTCATAGCTCACGTCGCACAGCGACGCACGGTCTGCATGAGGACGTCTAGAACAACTCTCAGAATTACCGCATTTTGGTAGCACTTATGTGCACTTTCACACGACCCACAGCTGATGCAGCGACTTGATGAAGCCAACACTGATGAACCTCACTCGCATTGGCAGGCAAGGGAGCAGGCAGTAGAGCCACCGGAGACTTCTCTTGTGGATGTCGTCGTTGAGCAGGATGAGGCTGGCGGCTGGCTGCTCACTCCCGCAGATGTTGGCCACACCTTGTATGGTTGCAGGCCTCCAGTACACACCTGGCTGAAGTCCTTGACGAGCCTGCTGCCGACATGGTTCTGGCTCCTTGGCAGTGCCATCGGGGACAGCATGATGGCTGTTGCTTTCTCCCCGCCTGACAGGTGAGCCCTCACATCGAAAAGACCATACTTGGCCCGAGAGCGGTGGAGCTGGTGACACGCAGAGGCGCCAGAAGTCAATCTATTGGCTTATGAAAAGCTCTTTGACCGGTTGATCGGCCGATGCGCCCTTTGCCCAGGTTTTTCCACCGGTGAGCCGATGCAGCTACAACAGCACAAGAGCACCCGGGAAGCACCACGTGTGATTCTCTAGACACCCTAAAGGTATGTGGGGTTTGGAGCAGGTATCCTCCGAGAACTGGCGCCACCAGCTTGGAGTGAGGAGGAGCTCTGAGTGGGAGAAGGGATGCGATCATCGTAGAAGGTAAGATCCACCGTTGAGCATCGAGACTGTGTGTAAACCACGCATGCGGCATGCGACAAGCCCTTTTGCAGGACCTGGACTCTTTCGTTGATCTTGTGGCTGCACAGAAGCAGCTCACAGAAGCGCGCGAAGCACCTTGGCAGTAACTTAGCAAGGCCTTCGGGACTTAGTGGTTGAGTTGTACCCTTTTGCGCCTGCCCAAATTACCATTGAGCACGAAGCCTGGCAGTTCGAGAGCGCATCTTGTCAGTCAATGTAGGTCAAACAACCACGTCGCATGAGGGAGATGCTGGTGACAGCTGGGGAATCTACATTCAGCAAACACTTGCGCAAGGGTTTGCACGCTGCGCTGACTTCCACAACTCTCAAGACACAGTGTGCTATAGGCTATAGACTCCAGACGATAGTATCTCATCATGGCACCATATTGTACTGGTAGAGTCTAGAGCAATAGCGTAGAGCAATGCCGTAGTAGATTATGGTACAGTATTATGTCAGAGTGCACCGTACATACTGTAGTATGTTGATCAGTGCTGTACTGGCACCGGGCAGGGCTGAGTACACACTGCACACAATCCTGCAGTTATTGCTGTGACTATTATGTATTGTGGTTATTATAACCAAATAGCTAAATCGCATGGTATATGGGAGTGGAGAACTACAAGATTCTCAGAATTTCTTCCGCTCCAGTTTGGTTCATGTTCGGTGATGGGAATTCAACTCTGCTTGCCAGCATGTTGTTAGGACAGTGACAAAAGAGGCGGGGTTTCGGAACATGCTTGTGTGATGTTCAACGAGCTTGCGGTCGAGGGCATGGCGCAGTCAGTGCAGTCACCTCGAATGGGGATGGGTTCTACGCGACTGCCTGAGGCGCCGGTGGCTACTGCAGAATTGAAAATATCTCTCGTCGAGCCTCTTGACTGCTAGCTGTGCATCTGTACGCCTTCTGTCGGGGTTCCTAGTTGCCCACTGATCCCGTTGTGCTACTTTGCAATGGAGGTCCGGAGGTTGCAAGAGTGTTACCAGCGCCACCAGCATGTCCCTATAACAACTAAGCTTGTCATCGTGACCATGACGATTCTGGCAACCTACCATGAGTACTCAATAATATGCGATTAAGATATTATGATGAGCATCATTATACTCTTCCTTGAACACCACGGGTCCGAATGCAGAGCCAGAGCCAAGTCGCTTGTCACGCCTTCCTGAGGTTGACGACCTGCTTCAGAGATCTCGCATCGAAAGCACGGCGTAACTCCGCGGAATTGCAGGAGGCCTCACGAGGGGCAGCCGCTGGGTTTAGGGTTTACGGTTTAGGCGGTGGAGCTGTCCAGCCTCAAGCTTGCAGGACACACTCCGTGCGAGAGCTGCAGAGCAGGCTGACAAGCTGCTTGCCCTCACCCAGCTTCTGCAACTTGGCTGAGCTTTTCGAGCTTTCTCGCTGCAATCACCGAAAAACACCGCGAAAGTGAGGACAGGTACTTCAAGGCGGCCCGGACAAGAGAACGACGAACCTTTTTCCGTTCAGTCTACGTGACGCATCCGAGCTTTTGGCCCGGGGAGATCACATTGCGAGACTCCGCTTGGGGTATATGCTACTGATGCTGGTGACTGGATTGAGTAGATGACTACATATCAAGAGAACCGCACAGTTTTCCCGGGTCACATAGCGGTCAATACTACGGCGGACTGAGCAGTCTCACGGAGTGCAAACGGCAACTGGAGGGCACGCCGTCACGGCAGCTCCAATTAACCGTTGACTGCTTGCACAAACAATTGCTTCCGTTTCAGTGTTAACTCTCGTAGAAAAGGCTAGGCTGCTCGAACGGAGCAGCAAGTGACCCGATGAACAAGCTCCATGTTCTTTGCGTCGCAGATGTGGGCTGCCATGCATCCAATCAGAAACCTACTGTGCTAGCAGTAGCTTTTGAGTAGTGAGTAGAAATGTGAGACTTTGTGTGCAAGTGTGCCCTGACTCCTGAAGCGGTAGTAAACCAAGGTCAGACTACAGTATGGGTCACATTTGGTCATGTAGCGAAATGAAAGGGAATCGGATTTTCTAGCTCGCGAGCCGGGAGGGGGCACCTGCGAACGCAAAAGGAGCCGCCATGTTGAGTTGAGGAAATCTGAAATTTGCGCGCTTGCGCAGGGTAGAGCACCGCTTCTACCCTCATGCCAGTCAGACTCGCGGCTTTGAGAGGGGCCGAGATGCTTCCGCTAGTTCAAGTTGGTTCAAGCTTGGACTCCTTAGACCCTGGGTGCCCTCTCAAGGCTTTGGGTCCTTGTGTACCTGTCTACGACACGTGTCAATGTCCACGAGCATTGATCTGCGGTTCAAAGCAGCCGTGGCAGTCTCACGGCTTCTCGATGTGAGAGAACTGTCAAGGTGCTGTTGGCACTTCGAAAAGAACCGCCACTCTTCGAAATCATTCGGAGTCAACCTTAAGTGGGCCTAGGCCTTCTGAGGCCATCACACGCTGCATCTGCTTCTGTCAGGCAGGCGCACCTTGGGTACCGATCTCAGTGGGCTCGTCAAGCCCGCAAGGAGAAGAGCAGCTCCCTTGAACGCGAAGGTGTCCAGCCGACTGCTGCTCAATCGAACCCACTGTGATTGAGTTTGGGAGGATGTACGGAGTCGGTTGGCAATTGCAGTGGAAAAGTCCCAGTGCGAGTCGGTCGAGACACAAAGCATTCGCAGAATGCGGCGCCGCTCAGCAGTTGACGCATGTTTAGGCGGCTCTGGTCTGGTCTCTGCAGAGGTGAAGCATTGGTAGCTTGACGTGTTGCACACCCGAGTAGCAATTGAGACCGAATTCTGCGAATGGAGCGCAGATCCAGGACTCTTTCAAAGACAAAGACTCTGTTTACGTGTGGGGTCCGATCCGATGGCGGCGCGCCTGCCGCTCTGCGTGTTCGCAAAACCTCCACGGCAGAAGCCTTGGCACTTCTGAGAGGGCGCTTTCAGACTCTCGGCCCGCGGCCCGAGGCCTGGAAGGGTGGCAGCCTGAGCCAGGCTGCAAAGCTGGTCCCCAGTCGACGACATGCTTGCACTCGGAGGCCAAGACGCGGCTGGCTGCCAGCATCGGCGATGATGCTGCTTGCAGGTTTGCTCCCTACGTCTCTGGAGTGGCGTGCGGCGTGCTGTTTCGGACACTTTCGCCAGCAGGCTTGCCACAGCCCGCAGCCAAGAGGCCTTGATCTCGTGCATGTTGGAGCTTCCTCTTCAGCCCAGGCTTTTATCAACGATTTCATATCCATGGCCTCGAATCTTAGCTGGGCCTATCCAGTCTTGGTGGCGGCCCCGGTGTCTTCAAATTTTCGATCAGAAGTCAACAATCTCGAGGCCACGACGGAAGACGGAATGGAGCCATCAAGCTTTCCGCTCGGTCCTCGAGCAGTTCTGCACGACGTCATTAGTCGAGTACCCTAGTACCAGTGTAGGTCTGGTAAGGCTCAGGGGTAGGGTTCGCTTGACGTTTCATATTCCTGGAGGCCAACAGCATTTCCATCAGATGTGCTTCTCGGGCCGCAGAAAGGGGGATCTTTTTGCAGGGTCTTGTGAGATTCAGAGGCATCCGGCGAGCGTTCCCCGTCTTGAGCTCAGCTAGGCTACGGAAGACTGAGAAAGCACCAGATTTCTGCGCAGGCTGGCGGCAGCCTGATGGCGATCTCGGTGCAAAGTTGGAGGAGAAAGCTGATCTTTGTAAGTCCGGGAATCCAGAGCCGCCGTGCAACAGGGGATCGTCCGGCAGGGCCTCGAGCTTGCAGAGGCTGAGAGCCGCAAGACGCATCGAAACCCTCACTCTACCCCAGTTTTGAGGCGACCATCTGCCTTGGGGCCGACAGTCACGCGCCCAGCGCAAATTCTGTTGGATGACTGTGCACTGGAGGGCTGTGCAGGTCCTGGGCGGCCCGCTCAGCGGCTAGAGGACACGAGGCCCAACCCGAAGCGACGCAGTCTTTCTCATGGCTGCTTCTCTCCGAGGCAAGCCTTATTGAACGGCTACGATGCAGTGCCAGCCACTACGGCACACTATCGAAGTGTCTGGGGGTTCACAATTCTCTCGGAATTCTCCCCCCAGGCTGGGGCCTTCTGAAGACGGAGGGTGCGCGCGCCCACCCAACCAACCAAGGCTTAGCCTAGACTTCAACCTGTGGAAGCTGACTGACATTCTCTGAGCGAATATATGGATCCTTCGGCAGGTACGACCTGATGGCTTTGAAGCGCTGCCCTCCGGGACTGTTGGCTGCCAGATCCCCGGAGCAGCGGAGGCTCCGGATCTGACGCCGGAATGGTGCGACTGCTCGTGTTGAGGACTTGCCGTGGAGCCAGCGGGCACCTCAAGGGAAGAGGGGCATCTTCCGCTCTGAGTCACACCTTACGTGTTGCGGTGAACCTCGAGCGGAGACGAGTTGACGAAGGCCGACAACCTTCGAAGCCACGAAGAAGCGCTTGGAAGAGTCTGCCGCTGAGTGCGTTCTGCGTCTCAACGGTCAGCTTTTACCATTCAGATCGAAAACACATGTCACAGGACTCTGCAACTCTCAGACTCGTGTGAAAGATTTGTAAACAGTCGTCAATTGTGAGGCAAGGGCTGCGAGTGGCTGTGCCACTCCGACAGAGATACTTCTGTGAACTGTCGCTAAGAATCGTCGTCTTGCAGTCCTAGGCTGTCGAAGTGGTGGGATGTTGACGAGGCCATGACTGCGGTGCATCTTTGAGCTTTGGACATGTGTATGATAAATGCACGGCAGCTGCGGCAGGTGGAGGACTTGAAGAGGCTCCAGGAGCCCCCAGAAGCGGGGTGTGAGCATCAGTTTCGTCAGTTTCGTAGAGCAAGGCCTTGTCCGTTCGAGACGATTCGGAGCATTGTGGCAAGGTCTAGCTCTTCCGGTTGTCGAGTCTAGGTATTTGCTGTTTGCACTCCTCAAGGAGCTTCTTCAAGACGAGGACGTAGCGGGTGATGCAAGTTGCGCATGGGCTTTGGCACGACGCATTCATTGATAGGAGGGCAAGCAGCGGGCGCCTGCGACTGCCGCTGTGCCACTCCCACCTTTGCTGCGCTGTGCTTCGTCCTCCGACCCAAGGCCCAACTTTATGTGCGACTCCTCCACCAAGGTCATGGCAGAGGTTGGTGGTGGACTTGCTGCCTGAGGCAAAAAGCAGCACTGCAAAGCTCCGGAGATGCTACTAATAGAAAGCTGAAGCATGATTTTGCTAGTCTCCGGGAGGATCAGAAGGTACTTGTAAGCTCGCCACGTGTTTGCCGGCTCTTATACCCAGCTCGGTTGGGTAGACGGGTCTGCGCCCGACTTCCTGACTGCCACTTGGAGCGGTGCCAAAGGCTGCGGTGATATACGTGTAAGTTTAACTACATAGCCGGTTACAAGACGCCTCCACAGGCCCATGGCAATCAATGCGATCAGCGGCCCGTTGTCGAATAGCCTGGCTCCTACACAGAATATGCTTGCTTCGTGCTTGTAGACGGTTGCTAGAAGCAGTTCAATCTTGGGCGACAGCATGCTGGGCCGTTCTGCTGCCTCAGCAAACGAGAGGGAGGGAGAAAGAGGTATGGCTCAGGAGCTCAGTGTCTGAAGCTTCGAGGGAATGTGGCATCGGGTAATGTCAAGCTCCGCCTGTTCCCGGGATTGATGTAGTAGTGAGGCGGTCGCAACTGAAGCTTGATCAGGCCAAGATAAAGGCAGCGCCAAGCGGAAGGAGGTCTCCGAGGTGGCGGAAGAAGCTACAGAGGAAGCGCAGGCCTTACCAGCTGTTCAGCTCCAGTCATCAAGCAGCTATGCCATCTAAAGCCGTGTGCGAAAGGACCCGACATGAGACCCCATGGCGTATGCCGGCATTTGAGGGCCGCTCGTAGGTTCAAGCAGTGCCTCGTCTGAGGCTGCTGGGTACGGTGATGGCGTAGAGTACTGGAATAAAAGGTGTGGACCTCAACCAGGCAAACAGCAGGGATTGAAAACTAACTGAAGCTAAATCTGCTGAGGTACCGAGGCGATCCCAATCCCTTCGAGTGGTTAGAGAGCTTCGCAGAGCTTGAGAGCCTTATCAAAGAGGCTGGAGCTGGATGTGCTGCACAATGTTGATCCAACGTCTATTCCGGTCCCATGACCAGGCCACGTCTGGCCGCACAGATGCGTCCGTGCTGCACGTGGGCTGCGGGAATTCCTTGCTGCCCGAAGCAATGTGGCATTCCCAGTTGCAAGTTGCAGTTCGTTCTTCGCTCGGGGCTAGCAGCAGAAGCTGTGCAAGCTCTGCAGAAGCCTTTGAAGGTACGACCATGGCTACAAGGATGTCACTAACATCGATGTCGCCGAGGCAGCACAGCTGCAAGTGTACTGAAAAGCAGCTCAAACTTGAGACCTAAGCCTAAGCTCAGGTATGCATTCAGCAAATGGCAGAGAGGACCTCCCTCGTGAATGTCGCCATCCGTCCTCCCCAGCGGGCGATCTATCCTTTTCCTGCAGGAATAGGACCATGCGCCCAGAGCTGAAGTGGCTTGAGCCTGAGTCGCGAAACGTGACGCGCAATTCTTAACACTCCTGGGTCAGCCCATGCAAAGGTTCGAGATGGATGCCACAGAAATGGGTTGCTCTTCTGAAGAATCCCTGCCACAAGAAGTATTTGCCAGCTTCCGAGCTACCTGCAGGCCTCATAGAGAGCAGCTTCGACACCGTCATCGACAAAAGCGTCCTTGATACCTTTGCATGTGGTACCCCAGGCTGCACTTCGGAAATGCCTTCGCTGGTAGAACTGTTTCTGAAAAATAGTTTACAGGGTGGTACGGGTGGTTGGTGCGGGTTTCGGAGGCAGGACAATGCAGGAGAGCTTCTCGCAATGCAAGGTGACAATGCACCAAATGTCATCAACAAATATTTGCTGGAGGCGACCGGGATGTGAAATGGAACGGGCGTAGGATCGATTACATGACTACATGGCTTCCTGCAGATTGGCGCCCTGTTGCTTGCGCCGTGCACAGCATCCCTGACCCGTCCGCGTTGCCCGAGTCGCCAGAGTCCAAAACCAGATCCGTAGCCATTTTGGCTCAAAGCATTTCATAGCTGGCCCACCTGGGAAAGGATTCTATAAATCTTTGCATCCTTCGCCGACTGTCACAGTTCCCTTTGCCATGGCACCGATGTACGTGGTCAAGAGGGATGGACAGAGTCAGGAGGTGAAGTTCGATGCCATCACGCGCCGCATCAAAAATCTTTGCGATGGCTTGGACTCCCGCTTCGTGGACCCCGTGCCCGTTACGCAGAAGGTGGTGGAAGGCTTCTACAACGGCATCTCCACGTCGGAGGTGGACACCTTGGCTGCTGAGACGTGTGCATACATGTCACAGAAGCACCCAGACTTCTCCACTTTGGCAGCACGGATTGCTGTGTCGAACCTGCATAAGAACACATCCGATTCTTTCTATGAGACGTGCAAGATCTTGCGCGACTACATCGACAAGCAGGGCAGGCCTGCAGCTCTCGTGGCCGAGAACGTTTGGGAGTTCATCCAGGCCAATGCGGAAGCTTTGGATCAAGCCATCGACTACAAGAGGGACTTGGGCTACGACTATTTCGGATTCAAGACCCTGGAGAAGTCCTACCTTCTACGTGTGCATGGCAAGATTGTGGAGAGGCCGCAGCACATGATCATGCGCGCCGCCTGCGGAATTCACATGGGGGACCTCGAAGCCGCACTGGAGACGTATGACTTGATGTCGCGGAAGTTCTTCACCCATGCGACGCCGACTCTCTTCAATGCTGGGACTCCGAAGCCACAGATGTCCTCCTGCTTCCTGCTGAAGTTGCAGGATGACAGCATTGAGGGTATCTATGACACCCTGAAGCAGTGCGCTTCCATCTCCAAGTCTGCCGGTGGAATTGGCGTGGCAATCTCGAACGTGCGTGCCAGCGGCTCCTACATTCGCGGCACGAACGGCCACAGCAATGGCCTCGTACCCATGCTCCGTAATTTCAACGAGACGGCGAGGTATGTGGATCAGGGCGGCGGCAAGAGGAAGGGCTCCTTCGCTATGTACCTGGAGCCCTGGCATGCGGATGTTTGGGCGCATGAGCAAACCTTCACGAGGTGCGCCTGTTTCCTTTACAAATTGCTCTTGTGGTTCTGCCTGGCCTTGGTGGTCGGGGCGGTTCGAGGCGCAGCAGACGACTGTGCAACCATGGCAGTGGTGAGCTCGCTTGGGTTCGCGAGCGCCTTCTACGTGATCCTTTTCCTGATGAAGTGGGGATGTTCTGTTAGGAGCACCGGCCGGGGCGGCCGGCAGACCCAAAATCTCAGGAGGCTCGGCTCCAGACGCCGAGCTCGCCTTCGACGCCTTCTTCTTCGCAAAGCTGCTCGTGCAAGACAGCGCCGCAGGGAGATTGGCATCGCTGCTGACAAGCGGGCGCTGCGCCGTCGCATCGTTGCTTTCAATGCGGTGTGGCGCGCTGGCAGGCGCAGAAAGTGGAATCGGAAGAGGCGACGGCTGCGGGACGGCCGGGCTTCTTCTCAGGCCTTGTTGGGGCCGGGGCCGCCGAAGGCTGTGAAGGCTGGTGGTGCGGCTGTGGTGCGCGCACCGAAGCGCAGTGATGGATGGAAAGGCCGGGGTTGGGGCCCGCTACTTCGTTGTGGTTCGCGGGGTGGTCGGGTTGTGCGCTCCTCGGCAAAGCCTTCGTCTGAGGGATCTCGTATGGCCAGGGCTGGTGGCAAGCAGCTGCCGTTGGTTGCGAATGCGGCCTCTGATGCCGCGGCCTCTGACGCTGCAAGGGCGCACTGGGAGCACTTGGGTGCGCGGGTCTATGGCGCTGGCTGCTCCCCGGGTGTGGCCGCGGGCAAGGGCACCGTTGTCGACTTTACGAAGGTCATCGACGGCTCGGCTTCCTCGAGGATTCGGTTTTCGTTGCTGCACAGCTTCCGGTTTGACAAGTGGCTGTGGATGAGGGTTGGCGAGGCACTGCATCCTGGACCTCAGGCACCACGCCGATCCAAGAAGGCCGGCCTCACCAAAGGCGACGTCAAGAGGCTTGTGAAATCCATGGTGCTGCAGCTGGCCGAGCAATTCTTTGGGCCGCCGCCTCCTGAACCAGCGCCTTCGGAGAACACTGTGCCTCGTTCTCCCAAGGGCAAGGGTAAGGCTGCACAGGGATCGCCCGAGCAGGGCAAGGGCCGCCGCAGGAAGCAGTGAAGAGCGAGAAGGGCGGTGGCAAGGCTGGCAAGGACGGCAAGGCGACACCTCCATGGCGGCGATCTCGTGGCCCGGCTGGGGGCGACACTCCTGAGCCGGCTTCTGCTGCTTTGGGCCTGCAGTCCACCTCCAAGGGGAAAGGCAAGCCAGAGGGCGCCGGCAAGGGCAAGGGCAAAGCGGATGATGCAAGTGCCGAACCGGCTCCACGAGCCCAGGCTCGGCGTTGGCAGCGTGATGGATGGCAGCAGGTCAAGTGGAAATTGAGACCCAACGACCTCAACTTCTCCGTCGTTATCTCGACCGCGGAAGCCTTGGAGCGCGAGCTCGACAAGGGCGAGGCGGTTCTGGTCTACACCGACAATCCCCGGGAGTTGCAGGAGTTCGGCGAGCTGATGCGTGGCGGGTGCCATCCTGCGTCGCTATTGGTCTATGACGGCGAGGCGACAGCGGAGCTCGACCACCTGAAGGGCGATTACCCAGTGGAGCGCCGGAGCTTGCCGGGAGTCCTGAGAGGGAGCCTCAAGTTGCGGAAGTGCTGGGTTGTGGCGATGCAGCGGGGGCAACCAGAGGTGGGGGAGCTTCCTTTGGACGTCGAGGTTGACTTCCTGGAGGCGCGCCCGCCGAAACAGAGATCGGCCTATCAGGAGTCCGTTGTGATCAGGGCATGTTGCGCCCAGTGCTTCACCGACAAGGACCGGTGGAAGAGGGTACTCCATCGTCCGGGGGCCGCGCTACGGGAGTGGACCACTCGTGTTGGGGGATCGCCGGCCGATCTCCTCGACAGTTGGTCGTGGGAGAAGACCGGGGACAGCCAGGCTTTGCATCCCACCGGTGTCGTCAAGGGCCTTGTTAGACTTTCGCCTTCGGCTGCGCGAGCGCTGCTTGCTGCTGGTGGCCGGTGCGCTGGGGGTACCTCCTTTTTCTTCCAGCCGCTCAAGTGGGCGGACCTGACGCTGAACCAGCCCGCGCTGCTTTGGGAGGCGCAGAGGCCGGACGAAATGCCGTGCCAGTACCTTCGGCGTGTGGTCGCGCTGTCCGGCGACATGGGCCTGTATCATGACGGCAAGCGGCTGGCTGTGCGAATTGACCCTCGCGACCCTCGGAATGCTGCCCGACAGGGTCTTTGGCATCTTCGGCAGGTTCCCTTTGGCTGGCACGTCGCCGAGCTCGAGGAGGTGTTGGCGGATGTTGGCTTTGAGCAGGTGGAGATCCAGGCTCGCTATCGTGATCGGCGGGCTGCTCGGTGGACTTTCTTGGCCCTTCGCGCTGACCGCCGGGACTACGTGCCGATCAAGATCGAGGACGCGGAGTTGGGCACACTCGAGTTGGAGGCCTCGCGGCATCGTCGTCAGGGGCGCAAGGATCAGGCGAGTGAGGCCATCAAGCCAGAGCGTCGGCAGAGCGTGGCGGTGAGGTCTCAGGAGGCGGTTGCCTTCCGGGACAAGGGTGCAGGCAAGGGCGCCAAAGGCGCGGTCGCCGAGGCCAGTCGCAGCGGCCCGGAGTTGCCGAGGGATCCCTTTGATGATTTGCTTGCCTTGGACGGCGATGTGGAGAGTGAAGTCGAGGCCGGAGACAACCCCATGATTGGCAACAAGCGGCAGGCTGCGGCTGTGGCCCCGATTGCAAAGAAACCCAAGCAGCCGAAACTCGCTTTGCCGCCGGGGGCCACTGTGATCAGCAACGATGGGGGTGGCAATTGCCTCCCGGCGGCCGTGGCACAGGCCCTGACATCGCATGCGGGCAAGCAGTTTAGCCATCGTGGTGTTCGCCGCGCCATGACCAGCTGGATGCGAGAGCAGGCTTCACATTTGCAGCCCCTTTGGGACGGCCGTGACACGAGCGACAAGCCATGCCAGCTGTCATTTGCGGAGTACCTCTCAGCGGTGGAGGCGGTGGGTTCTTGGTGTGGCAACCTTGAGGTGTACGCCCTGAGCCGGGGCTTGCCGGCCAACCTCCTCGTCCTTGACTTTGACTCCGAGGCCACTTTCAAGTTTGCAAGCCAGGCCGACTCGGACCCGTTTGTTGTGCTGAAGTTTAGCGGCAAGCACTATGAGTGGATCCAGTGCTCGCCGGAGGCCCTGGTGGACATTTGGTGTCACGCTGCCGTGGGCAACACCGTTGGCGGGCGCGGCGGCGGCTTCATGTGCATTGACACGGCATCGGAGGCTTCTGTGACTTCGGTGGCGCCGGCAGCTGGGGCTCCCGAGGGTGGCCACTTTCCTAGAATGGTGATCGATACTGCCTCGAGTGCCGGCTCTGGGGTTCCTCGTGTGCGGGGCGGTGGCTATGCTGACATGGCTCCCGTGCCCCCGGTGGTTGGTGGGCACATGGTCTTTGATGACTTGTCTGCTGTGGGCTCCGGGCCGTCGTCGGCTCTCCGGCCATCGTCTCTGCCGACTGGCGACTTGGGTTCAGTTCGTGCCCATCGTCCCCCGCGGTCGTGGCCGACGCCGGCTGATCTTCGGTCTTTGTCCTCGGCGTCTTCTACCCGTCCTGTGCTCCTCCCACCTCGTCGCCGACTCCGGGCCAAGACTAACCATTGGGTGTCGTTGTCGGCGGTGGCGAAGGCTGGTGCTGACGTTGAGATGCCGGTCGAGGCCGAGCCGCTCCTGGAGCCGAGTGCCCCTGAGCATTTGGAGCACCAGCCGAAGCGGTCCAAGTATCGGGTCGGCGCAGTTGTTCGGTGGCCTTGCCCGTTGTGCCC